ACCTGAGGTGTGCTTTTGTTTGGATTTCTTTTTCTCTATTTTTCCCTTTAGCCTTTTATCTCCTTTTCCTTTCTCAAATACCTCACATCTCCTGGGTTCCTGTATATTTGATGCTGACCTTGCTCTGAAGTGTGCCTAGCCAGTGGTTGAACAAAAGAGCTCATGCCTCTCCCATATATTTATTTTATGCTTTAAAATACTTTCCCCCACCCCTATCTACAGAGGGCTTGGGATTTAACCAAAAACATTTGGAWAAATAAATACACTCGTCTAGCTATCATAAAGATTCTGTTGCACTGTGCTTAAATCGTGATTCTCTCAGCCCCTTCAAAATGCTTGGTGACTGTTCCCGTTTGCTTGTGTGAGGGCCCCCGGGAGTGGGATGCGCGATGGAGGAGAGGCGGCTCCGAGGGAGCGCTGGCTCTGGGGGGAGCGCAGAGCGGAGCCTYGTGCCGCTGTTGTGGCCTCACACAGCCCTGTCCAGGGAATCTTCCCAATGCCTGCTGAGGAACACGGTGAATTAGCCTGTGGTGGGTGCCTCGCTGCAAAGGAGCTTCAGTGTTGTTCTGATTTATTGCGTCCTTATAGTCAGGGACTTTGGAGAGTCGACTTTGATTCCAAAAAGTGATTCCTGAAAGCAGGACCTGAACTGGATCCTGGATAGCATAATGTTCACTTCCCAAGTAAATATCTATGCCCGTGTTACTTGATCTGCAGTTTGAAGTGTGCAGAGGACAGTGCCCTTGCAACGCAGCGCTGCAAGGATGTGGGGAGCAGGACTGACCTCTACTCCCGGGACACCCCTGGGCAGCGAGATCTGGTTCCGGCTTCTCAGATCTTCTGCCCGAGGATCCCAAAGCAGGAGAAATGCCACAAGAGGGAATGAGGCAGCACATAATCTCMAAATAGATTCTAATGCTTCCAAACTCTCTTTCACTGCACTAAAACCTATTGAAGTGGCTCTCCTGTAAGACCTGCTTTTAGGGTTGTTATCCCTTTCCTTTCCATTATGGAATTTTGAACATTACTGCCTTAGCAACGAGTATATGAAGAAAACACAAATGAAATGGAGGGGGAAAAAGGTGTCTAGCAACGTGCTTATGAGCTAATCAGATTGCTGTAGTGGTAGCTCAGGCTCAGATAGCTGAAGCAGTAACTGCTTGGGACRAGGGCTTATCTGAACCCTTTTAGGAATCTCGCAAGGCAGTCCATTAAACGGGCACGTTGCTGGTGGATTTGGGCTGAGACGCCTCTTGAGGCTGCTCTGACTTAAAGCACGTGGTGGCCTGGAAAGGATCCTAGCAAGTTTAATTACTGYTCAGGAGAGATAGGGGCTGAATTAGCCTGCATGTGCCACTGCTGGCAGGATGCACATGGAYGGGGCTGCAGCTCAGCTGAAAGGCAAGAGCTGCTGAGCTGTGGGAGACTGATCCTCTGTCTGAGCTTTCTAATTCTTCTTAAAATAATACTTTCTTGCTCTAGTACTGTTAGCACATTAATCTTTCAGTAGGACTTTTTTCTGACTTAGATATGACTTTTTATTAAATAATTACTTCCTCAAACACACCTCATCTGGCCAATTACAGTATCTTTGATATCCCTTAAAACTGCAAATTTCTTGCTGCAGACCAGACTATGATGTAGTAGTTGTACTCATCTAACTGCCTAGTGTATCTCAGGTAAAAGAAGTAAAATGCAGTGGGGTCTTGGAGCCCTGCAAACATTCGGCCTGAGGAATGGCTGGGGTGCTCTGGCAGTGAATACATTCTTTGGAGATAAAATTTAATTTACCRAAATGACAGCTCAGTACCTTCATGATCACTAGCCAGCAACTGGTCACTTCTCAGTTTCACTCAGTGAAATGAATCTGTTTTCATAACCATTTAGCTTTTAATTTTTTGACAACTAATTTGTTTTCTTTATAGTGCTCATAATACTGTCTGGGTAAACGATAGCCAAAAGCCATATGTTGCACTTAACTGCTAGCGGGATGTCATTCTACCTGTAATTACTGCATTCTGTGTGTCCATGTTACTATGCTGGAGATCTGTAGGCTGTCTTATCTAGTGGCTTGATCTAGAAAAACAATGTAAGCAAGTTACCGTGTATTTTTTAGAGAGCTTTACCGGTAGCATTATAATTTCCTTCACGTTTCTTAACTCCTCTGCATGCCTAAAGGGARAAAAAAAGGGACTCTCAGTCTTTGATTTAACAATGACATATTAGAAACTCCAGCATGTGAAACATGCTGGTGTTTTGCAAAAATAATTCTCCTGGAAGTCACTCTGTGCTTATGCTGTCTTCAGTGCTATGAAATTGTACTTTCTTTGTCTGTGTAAATTCTGTAGTGAGGTTTTATTTTTCCTTCTGTGCATTTTGCACTCATTTTCATATATCTGTCAACTGAGCATTAAAAAATCATAAAAAGCTTGGTGCTATAAAAGTCCTGACAGCAGCTTTTCAGCTTTATTTTCCTTTTCTTGTTCAATTCACAATCAATGTTTGAAAACATCAAAGTCTGCAGAGGAAGGTTCATTTTTATCCAGATCTTTTATTTAGCATGTTTTCTAGCTGCTTCTTGCTAGCAACCCCTCCCACCCCCATCCCAGACCCAGCAACCGTGTCACTCCTTGTGGAGTCGGCAAGGCGCAGGGCGGGATCCATCTGTTGTCTCCCAGGTTTCAACTCCACAAACTGTAGGATTGGAAGTCACCTCTTAGGTCATCAATCAAACACTATACTGTGCAACACACTCATAAAATCATTGTATTTAACAGTATTTTTCCTTATTGCTTCATGGGAAAGCTATTASAGGCCTTCATTTATTTGTTCCTGTAGTGCTCAACTTCTTCAGGAGTTTTGGCCCCGTGGCACTGAGCAGATACTCAGTGAGATACTTGATGCAATTCTGATTAAGGCAGTAAGGATCCAAGTTCTTAGACTCCTTCAAGGTCTTGCCTGATCTTGGGCCACTCAAGCACTGCTGTGCCAGCAGTGGGGTGGGTAACACGGACACAGACCATGCTACACACCCAGGCCCAGAAGGCTTGCTAATTTGATGTGTCTTGTGTTTAAGTAATGCTAATTATGTGAGAGGGTTTGAAGGATATGTTTTGGTTGTACAATGAAAATGTCAGTCCATTAACTATCGTTATTACCTGTCAGAAAGAGAAGAAGCTTTGACTGAATGCTAATTTTTCTTCATATCCGTGCACATGCATACAAATATCTCCTGCATGTTTTGTTTATTTGTATTTTGATTACTAGAATGATCTTTCTTCTTTTCTCCACGAATTGTCTCTGCTTGGACTGAGTCCAGAAAAGGGAGAATGAAGCTCTATTTTCAGGCCTTCAGTGAGTCAGCTTGTCCTGAAAGTGTTTTTGAAGCATAAGTGTTTCAGCTCCAGAAGGGGAGCTGGCGGCTGCTGCTGCTGCTCACTCTTGCTCCCAGTGGTCTCTGGAATTTATTAAGGTAGTTGAAAGGGTTCAGCAAGGTCAGAGAGGGCACTGGGAACCAGTGGTCCACAGGGAAGAAACTTGTTCTTTTTTGCTTTATTATGTAAGTAAAACTAGGTGGCTAATGACCACTTCTGGTCATAGACTCTGTTAATATTTATGTTTTTAATATTATCCTCAACTTGGTGAGTTTTTGTGAATATTGGTGAAGTCTCCCATAGCTAGCAAAGACAGCCTGCTGTTATCACAGGCAGTTTTTATCAAGTTTAAGGTGCTTGGCTTTGAGTTCAAATAGACTCCTCTATTTCAATGTTCTTAGTGGCTTGCTAAATTGGACAAATCTTCTCCCATTTTCCTGTCTGTTTTTTTAAGTGAAGATAAAAATAATGATAATCTCAAATATTTTAAAGTCTTATTTGGAGTAAGAATAATACATTATTATGTATATTTGTTCAACCACCTAAACAAATTAATGGAGTCATGGTGCAAGGGTTTTSTTTATAAGTACATAGCACAAAATTGTAAAACTCTTCAAGTTATTTTTGCAAACCTCATTCTAAAAGCCCCTCAAGTGTTAATTGATGGTATGATTTTATTCCGACGGAAGTTAGCATTACTTCTGCCTGCAAAGGGCACTAGGCAGCTAACAAACATAGTTCTTGAACTACTGTGAGTTTGTCAGACAGCATTAATCATATCTGGAAAGCAGGCTTTGCTAACCAATGTGTGGTGACTTTTCTTTTAAAAAAAACATGGTCATTTGAATGGATTTTGAGGTATTGGATCTGCAGTCAGTAGTCTGATGGTGCAAGCATGCAGCACTTGGATACTCAGGCTCTGTCTCGAGTATTTAGGCTGTTGTTGCTGATACTCCTAGTGGAAAGCTGGTCAGCCTCTGCTTTGCAGCCRCACTTGTGGCAACAAGAGCATGTACTTTGGCTTGGATATGCTTGGTGCAAGCACTTACTCATCTGATCATGCCAGGTAGCCTCTCCATCTGGTGCAGTGTGCATGATTGTTCCATGAAAATGGATGACAAGAAATTGCTTGAAATGTTTTTCATGAGATTGTATTACCTTTGCAAATTGCTACTGCTACCACCTTGGAGTGAAGGTGCTGCTCCGGGGCCAGCAGTGCCTGTCCTGAACCTCCTCTGGGCTGTGGGGCATTCCGCTGAGGGYACCTGGTGCCCTTCTGCTCTTGAGCTTCTTGCTGCACCCGAGGAGGTTCCAGCTCACAGAGGATTTTATTGCTCCTACTGCAATAGTTCATTGCTTCCCACTCTCTGCTTCTGAAGTTGGTCCCTCTTTTTATCACTGTGGAAAATTTCAGCAGAACAGAAAGTGAAGAAAACAAGTAATAGAGGAATTGAGTACAGTAACCAGAAGAGCACTAGAGGAAACCAGAATTTTCTGTTTATTTGCATGTATAAAGGTACCTGTTTTTTCCTTTAAAGCCTTTTTACGCAGTTTTCACTGACAGTCAGGACCTAGTCAGGAGTATCAKATTTTCAGTGCAAAATCATCTTTTTCTTTTCCTCACAGAAGATCTACATGCTGAAAACGAGGCTGATTTTCCACCTTTCCAATGAATTCCCTGCCTATCTTAAATCCTGCAAAATGTCACACTGGAAAACAGTAAGTATTCTGCTTAACTTAATAGTTAAATAAAAGTTCTGCTGTTTCTCTGCAAAAAAGTTTCCCCTATTTTCAATAGGAATAAGGAGGTAACTGGATTTGATTTTATAACTCAGCTTGGCCATGATTACAAATGAATAATATGGAAAAGAACAGTATAGAGGAAATTAAAACAGCAATGACATTAATTCCAAGCCATGCTTTCCTAAGAAGAAATCCTGAACAAGCGTTTTTTCCTTTCAAATTGCTGGTTGATTTTTGTCAGTTGTGTGAAATACTGACAATAGTAAAGCCTTTTCTGGGCAAAATGATATGGCTTGTTTGATTTCTTCGGAATTTTCTTTGATATTTGTCTAATTAACGGTAGTCCATATATAAATGTCTTATTATAGTAATTTAATAGACTAAAATAATTATCTTCTGGGACCTGGCTTTCTTTAAAAATATATAATTGTCAGCTACGAGGAAATGGGATGGAGGCAGGGAAGGTYTGAGAAGAGCAGGCCGCTTTGTCAGCTTTAATATTGTGAGTAAACAGAAGAGCATAGTCAACATATCTGTATAAATTTAATTCTGCAGCTTATGTGCATTTGAAATGACTTTTTATTATAGAAAAAATACGGCAAGTGAGTGCTAATAGGAATACAAAAACCTTTCTTGATTCTTTGGTTATGTGCGGTGGATATTCAGGTGCAATGTCCTTTCATGCATAAATGCCTCGTTTGAGARGGTAGGCTGGGAAGCCTTCACAGAATCTCAACTGTTGCATCGTGTAGTATCAAAACAAATAGAATTTTGTGGAAGCACTGGCATAAAATTGTGTATTTATTTAAAAAGAAGCCTAAAGAAGCTTCCACAAGAGGCTCTTGTGAAAATAAAATAGCTCATAAGAAGGCCTGAGGTAATAAATAGTATTTTTGAGTACACCGGGTTGAAGATATGAGTGACTAATGGCCTGCACCTTGGTGAGACTGCTCACAAGGTGAGATCCCTTCTGCCTGTTGGCTTCCAAGAGCCTTGCAGGGCTCCAGGGCTCATGGAGCATGGGGARATGTTATAAATATGTCAGTGTTTTAGGTAGGAAAGGGAGAACCAAGACCCAGTGCAAAAGATTGCTTTGCCAATCCCTAGAGCCTGACTCAGGTAGGTGATGCACCATTTTCAGGAGTTTCAAATTACAGTTGTATAAGCGTTGGATAGAAAAATAGACTGAAAGATGTCTCCTAAGTGTGAGKTAGCAGCACTGCTTGTGTTCCATCCCTGCAACGTCACTCCAGGTAACTGAAAAAGAAAAAATGATATGATTTTAGGTAGAAATGAAGTCTCTGGAGGGAAAACCTGGTCATGCAGGAATGAATTTTATTTAGCAAGATTTCACTTTTGAAATTTCGAGTCTTGTTTTCCATATTGCCTAATACAGCTCTTACTATATTTATTTCTGATAAACTAGTTACAATTATACAATAAAAATACAATTAAGATTTTATGTATTTTATAGACATATATGTGTGTGCATATACATGCAGATATAGCTACTGTAACCAAAAGCAGGTATTGTACTTGGAGGGATATAAATGATGTGCTCAGATTAAGCATGTGGATAGTCTAATCTCATAGAATTTAGATCCTTGATGGGATYTGAGTATGGGAGCTCTTTGAACAGAATTAGATGTGTGCAATCAATTCTTTTGAAATATAGATTTGTAGTAAACATGCCTTTGGTATTTAGCATGAGCAAATAGAACCCTGCAAATCCATTGTAATTCTAAAAGTAGAAGGTTTTTCACTATATTCAGTCATAAATGTAAGTATTTTCACAAGGAAGGTCAAAAAAAGGTTTATTGTAGGAGCTAAGGGTCTGTTACTGCATTTTTAGTAATTTTTATCAAAAAGTTAGGCACAGCAAAACCGTGTTGCTTGTCTTTTGATGTTTTGTCTGATGAAAACTGTTGTGAACATATCTTGAAAGTGACCATAAAGTGCCCTTGCCTTGGCCTTTTAATTAACTATTAATGTCTCCCCTGTTTTATGGTTCAATAACGTGGTTTCAGTGAATGATGCACTGGGCTGATTGCCAGCTGTTAGAATGTGTTCAAACAAGCATTCTCCACCCAAAAGTTTGGGGAATGGAACATGAGAAATCTTGTAAAGTTTCCATTTCATTAACAGTCTGCAAAAAGATGAAGAATTAGGCAGAGGGAGAAGCTGTGTTAATTCTAGGGCAGGCAMTGCAGTTAAACACAGATTATTTGTGTTCTTTTCAGTGTGTGCTCCAAAACCAGCAACTTGGAAGCTGTTGAATAAATAAGCACCCCTGTCTCTCCAATACCATCTCCCTCAACAAGATCTTCCAYTGCTGTTGTTAGAGAGCCTGGGGAAAGGCAGTGGTTTTGCTGGAGCTCCTCTGTGGGCAGGCTCTGCTGGGGAGAACTTTGGTTTTGCAAACTGAAGAGCCCCTGATGAACTGCAGAAGCARAAGGCTTCTTGCTTGTCCCTCTATCTCAGGGGTTGCAGAGGGCTCCTTCATCCTCTGCTGCCTTCTAGGAGTCAAGCAAGCAAATGGAAATGTGTTTCTGCTTTCCTTCAGGAAGGACTTGGGGAGTTTCCACATGTTTTAAGAACTGGAAGGCTCCAAAATAGGTTTTTCTTTTTCTTTTTTTGTTCCAAAATGGCTAGCAATGCCCAACTTTGCAGGAAGTTACATAACTTAGAGCACCATAACACAGAAAAGCTACTGTTAGATGAATTGCAAATCATTTATTTGATCTAGCTCCTTGTGTTTTCTAGAGTGCTTGAGTATTCCCAGATAAATAGCAAGCTTTTGAAAGTATTTATCTCCCCAGGAGAGACAAAACTTGTAGTAAACTTCATTTTAGAAGTATTGCTGCAGGCAATGAAATCCATACAAGCAAACAAAGCCCAAGAGATAGGTTGCCTTCTGGCAGACTACTAGAAAACATTTCCTTAGCAACTTGCTATGTTCTTCAAAATAATAATAGCTACTATTACTTTAACTGGAAAAACACTGTGTTTGAACTAGTGTATTTCAAGTGTTGGGATCAGGGCCTTACACAGCCCAGACCAACATCACTCGTCCCTCTGCACGTGAGTGAATAGATACTGGCACCGGTCTGAGTCCTTGCCCAGCCGACCCTTGTTTTTCTGTGCTGTGCCTGAGCCTTGTTCAAAGCAGTGCCATTAGCCTGGCCACAGTCCTGTTTCCTTTAGGAAAAATTAAAGCTGGAAGGAAAGAACTTTAGCTGTCAGTAGTTATATAAGTTTTTGTAAGATTATTATGACACTGGAAGGGGGGAAAAAAACCCTTCTCTCCACTAGGTTATTTGCTCCAGCATTTTCTCCAAGTAGTTTCCTAACCTGAGAGTTTGGAGAGGAGATGCAGGGCAGGAGCAGAGGGTGCGGAAGGCGGCGGGAGGGCTGCTCTGGAGTTGGGGCTGGCAAGGGCTATTTTATGCATAGAAGGAATTCTTCAGTGGTGAATCAGCTGTGCTAGGATCACTCTGGACTTCAGAGAATTCAGCCTGTGTGAATTCATAGGGGGAAAAATTCCTGAAAGGATATTTTAAAGAAGAGGCTTTGAAAGTCTTCTCTGGAGGACAGATTCCTCTCAACTCTGTACCGTTTCCTGGGACGGTTCTGAAAAGGACCCCAAGATCTGTGAGGCTGCAGAGCCCTTCACTGCTGTGCCGCAGTCCAGCTTGTGAGCTGGTCCTTTATGAAAGGGCCTGTGTGGGTCTGTGGACATGAGTCTTCCAAACTCCACTGCAGTCAGACGGTGCTTTCACTGCTGCCTTCTCATGGAGCGGTGGCTTGGAGAGAAGGCTGAATCTAGTTTAGCTGTTAGGGGAAGGCAATGGGAAGGGTGCAGTGCCTGCATCTCTAACAGGAGCTTTGAATATGTTGTATAGAGACTCCTATTTTGTGAGTGGAGCTATTTCAGCCCTGCAGCTGRAAGAAAATGAGGGTATCAAAGAGGGCTGGTTGTGGTGAAGCAAGTGGTGTCACTCTGCATGGGCATGTCCTGATAGCTGGCTGGGCATTGCAAGAGGTTGATGCAGACTTGTCATCTTCAGATTATAGGAAGGAATCTGTAGACCTCATTTCCTGAGCTGACAAATCTGTGGGAAAGAGGTACCTGCTAATGGAGGCTTCTCTTAAAAACCTGCTAGGATCTAAGCTTGAGACAGTAATATGAAATGTTACGTTCTGAATGTTGGGTAGTACAGTTCTTAGRGAGTTTATTAGCATAATAAAATTTATCTTTGTGAACATCTGAACTCTAAGAGCAGATTTTATTCTACCCTCCAAAAAAATTATACGCTTGCCACTGAACAGCTGCCTACCTCCAACATTCAAGAGCATGTAGTGAAGAAGATGCATCTGACATGTAACATAGAAGATCTACAGGCGAAATTAAGGTTTGCYCCTGTCAGTTAAAAAAATAGATTATGGCATGAAGTCTAACAGTACCTATTTACAGTCACATTAAGAAATTATTTGGCATACTGTTAACTTCAACCATTAAAATAATTATTCAGTGTGAGAGAAATGTGTAAGCATTACATCTAGCATTGGTTTGTCACAACTTTTTCATTTATTCATTTCAATGACATAATGCCTTTAAGAATAACATGATAGAGAAGTTTCTTGCCATGAAATATGGCAAGTGACAACTTTGCTTTAGCCAAGATTTGTGTTCTTTAGATGATTTACTGCAAAAATGTGCTGTATCTATTGTGAATTACATTATTTTAAAAACTCATGCATGCCAGTCCTTTATTTTTTTGGATAAGGAATGAGAAAGCTTTGGGACCAAGTTCTAGACATCTTTTGCAAATCTATTTTTAAATGAATGATATGTGGAGTCTTCAGAAATTCAATAAGAGCTTTCTGCATCAAGTCCAGGAACCCTACTTGAAGGGAGGCTTTTAACTGTAGGGCCAAAGCAATGACAGCACTCAAATACGGAGATGCAAGAGCTATGTCCCATAGATTAGATATCCCTATGAAGCAATACTAAAAGAATGTGCTGCAATTATATGTAACATCTCAAACATGACAAAAGCTGCGTATTTATTTTAGATACTCAACAAAATACAAATGTTTTTGTGCTGACAGTGTGTATGCTACAGTACTAAATTTTCTATTTAGATAAACTTTTCCCACTATGTCTCACTTCAGTCTGCATCTATGCTTTTATGCCTTTCTCTTTATACGATATATTCTACCAAAAATAAATAATTAAACCACAGATGAACTGTCAAAAGGGAACATTCATATTTTAACGCAACATTAACATTTTGGTAATTAACATGGCAGTTAATGCTTTTAGCAGATCTAACAACATTAGACTTGTAAATTTTAATTAAAGYTAATGGTTCACGATAGCTGTAGGGATCAGGCATCCTCTCTGGATACTGAAAACATGTCTAATGTGATTAGAAATACTAATTGAAGAAAAAAGGACTGTAATAGTAATGGCTGTACTTCTTTATCTTGTTGAATTATTGCAAACCTACAGCATCTATATTTTCAGCAGGAAGTTGGGAGGGTCAAATGCTCCCCTTAAAGAAATTAAAGGGGGTCAAAAGAGCATTGCCTACACTCTCTGTCTATCAGAATAGGGAAAAACACTACTTGAAAAGCTCTTCCTTATTCTCATGAGATTGTATTCCCAAGAAATACTATAAAGATATTTGCTTACATTTCACATCCCTTTTGGATTTAATTAGGAGCTAATGTGGTAGTTTTAATTCCCTTAGAGGCTTTGAATTCACATGGCAGGCACAGACATGGGGCTGGCACTGAGAACTGCGACTCAAGTGGATGGTTCTCCATCTTCGTGCAAGTTGAGGGGTTGGTGGCGAGTCCTTTCCCATGCTTGTTGAGACATGAAGCATTTTAACAAGCACAGGGAAGGSGTTAGTTTTACTAAGGGTAATTACAAACTCCTAGCCACTATAAAATGCAGTTGCATTTTATAAAATGCCAACAGTATTTTTTCACTTTTGTTCTTGTAATATATTTTTTAAAGCTGGCTCCAAACTCTCTTAGAAAAGTCCTGTAATTCTTACTCTAGCAAAACTGCTACTGAAAATCATGTCTGTTCTTCTGGTTCTGCTGGGAGTTCTGGCTAATAAAGATTAAACATTGGAACTTTAGGTTGTGTTTTGAATGACAATAGTTATTTTCACAATAAACACGGTTATTCCCAGCTAGTACCTTCAGCTCTGTTAACTGTCAGCACGCTTCCAACAAGATAAATCATTATTCCTTTAGATTGCAGGGCAGGCATGGACTCCATGCTGTCAGGCAGAGCRCAAAGCCTTGGTGAGGGCCACAGCCTGTTTGGAAGGGGTGCACTCTAACCAGCTGCAACAAAGAGCAAGGGAAAGGATGCTATGAGTAAGGATGTTATTTTATATCCTTTCTATTTCTAGCAGAAAGGAGATGAGGAAATTTGGTCAAACTAGCTGAGGAGGACTGCCTGCCTGAGCAGATTTTTACCTGGTGATACTGGAGCTCGTAACCTCTGCAGGGAGGCACGTTGGCTTTGCACAACATGTCTGCATGTGGCAGGAACTTTGTCCTGCATAGGTACTCTTGATAATGCTGAAGAGGCCYTCAGGTCACTGGGAATTCTCAGCTGGCCTTCTGTAAGGATGCACGTCTTACAGCTGAGCTCTTTCTGGTAAGGAGTTCAGTTGCACCTTGCAAATAGGTGTCCACTTGTAGCAGCTGTATAATGCAGTGAGCAATGCAAAGAGCAGCTTGGACTATCCACCTTCACAATCTTACTATTTAGATATTAGGCATCTTTGTGACATAAGTGCCTTTTCACGTTTTGAATATAGTTGATGAAATAAAGTCCTCTTCCATGTTAAAGAGCAGCCTTCAAACAAACCAACAAAACAAAGATGCCYACTAGCAATCTGATCTTACAAGTTTTACAGGTGTAAAGCTTCACTGGAAACAATAGCAAAACTTCCATGAGGACTTTGGCTTCATGATTTACTTCYGTGTGAAACTGCCAAGAAATGTTTGTACTTTTTCTATCAGTTTCTCCCAGGAAGTTTCAGTTGCCTTTTACAAACTTTGCTCTGAAATTTGCCTGGATTACTATGTAAAAATAAATAATTGCTTTCCTAGATTGGCCAGGGTTCCCGCAGTGAGGCTTTTAGCAGTGCTAATGCCTGATCTTGCCAAGGATTTARTCGGAGGGGAAAACAAAAGTGATGGCTGAGGTTTCAGAATAGTTTCTAGAGACCAGTTCTGTTCTTTCCTAGGCAGTGCTGAAGTGGATGCAACTGTGACTCTGCAYGGAGATCCCTGACCAGTGGAGAAGTCCAGAGATAGCCAGTGGGCAAGAGAGGGTTCRCTGCTTTTATGCCAGGTATGCTGCATCTTCAGTGCAGCCCTACAGGTGGTAAAAGTCCTATGCAGTAATTACTAACTGGCTTAATTGCCATCTAAGCTGTGCCTTTTGCGGTGCTCACAATTCCTAGCGATGCTCCCAGTRTCCCCTAGCCCAAGCAAGTTCCTGTTAATCCTAATAGTTTGGATTTCCTCTACCTGTGCTTTGTGTTGGGCTGTTACAGCAATCAAAACCATCAACCTTTTGGCTAACTTCTAAAACACAACTACACAAATAGACACAGCGAGTTACTTGTTCACAGGCTAAGAGATCTCTGAATGAACTTGCCCATTKCAGGTCTCTCGGGCGCAAGCGGCGCGGCCGGGCGCTCGGGGCCCTCTGGCGTCCAGGAAGGCGGCGCTGCCCAAGTGCTGCTCCCGGAGGAAGGAAGGAGGGAAGGAGCGCGTCCTGCAGCTCCAAGAGCTGCCTTAGCTGCTGCTGCCCACCTGCACGGTTTATGTTCTTCATATACAAACAAGCGCTTTGGTTAAAACTCCTGCCTGATTTCATTGTATGCCAACTAATTCTTTCATTATGGTATATAATAAGGTATAAGAGATTAACTATAATTGCTCTTATCACTAGCCATCAGTATAATGATAATAATGATCACTCTCCTCTCTAAGCTTGTCTTTGATTGAAAGTTGATCCACCTTATCTGCCTTTGGGCACTTCACTTATTTCTAAGCTGAAGATTTCCAAGTGTTTCCTCTTACAGAAGTTTTTGCTTGTTAACTTTTGTTTTACACCTTCTTGTGGAAACCACAGGAATTCACCACCAGGAATTTTCCTCCCTTTTCATCAATTTTAGGTAACTAAAGGGTCTTTAATTGTAAGACTGCTTAATTTCTGAAAGATTTTAATGGAGACTTTGTAAAAAGATTTTTTTGAAATCCTGGAATTTTATGTGTCATTCTGATTTGCTCACTGTCCAGAAACTCTTGCATGGGCTGCAGGGCTCTCACAGGGTGTCAGCCGAGGCAAGTGACCGTTCTAGACTCGTCCTTGTTGCATTTTTCTCCTTCTGAATCGTGATCCTGCAGTGGGGACAGCGCTCGGCCTCCGGCTCTGGTGTGTTTGGAAGAGGTTTTACACGGAAGTTGTGTCCCACCAGCAACATTTTCCCCAAGAAGCCTTTGGCTACCTTGCTATTCTTTTATACTTTGCTTGCTGGAGGTTTTGCTATTTTCATTTTCCTCAGCACAACTTTGTGTACAACGAGCACCTCTTGCTTTGAGTATTTCCCTTTATTCTCATTGTCTGTGCTGGTTTTTAAGTCCKCCTGGCGACTTTGAGAGATGATATCATCCTCTCTATATCATGTACACCTACTTTGAAGTGCTAGTAAAGCTCTTTTCCCCCATTGGTTCTGCATTTTAATTTATTTTTAACACACTTCTTGGTTGTACATCGTCCTCAAAGTTCTCTATTGCGATGATAAATTTCTTTGGCCTTTTCACCTTTACAAGGAAGATGAATTTGATATATTATGATCAATATAAAATGGTTCTTTCCTACCAGAGCCCCAAGTGCATTGCTTTGTCCATGGCTCCAGTTCTCAAAGGCTCATTTAATRATTTGTGTTGTTTAAAAGCTTAATCTCTGCATGGAGCCCTATCGTGATATTCATATCAAGTSTAGGTATAAATGATCTCTCTTTGCTCATGATATAAACGATCTCTCTTTGCTCCTGCTCCTTCTGATTCCTGTACCACGCCACAGGCAGATATGCCAGCTTTTTTGCTGTTAATAAAGAACTGGGAGAGAGGGAAACTCGAAGCCTGAGTATTTGGGCATCTGGGTTTCACAGTGGAGAAGGTCCTTTTGATTGATTTCCTGGCATTTATTGATTTGAAGGCCCTAAAGAAYTGTTAACCAGACAGTGAGCTGCTACATACCTGCTCTGTGACACCAAAGACATCTGTTTCCATGTTCCCAGTGAGCTCTTCTGCTAGCAGTTTGTACAGTGTTGAAATACGTATATTTGTTGAGTCTTGGGTTGTTCTGTTAATGAGCATASCAGGAACCTAGCTGTGCAGAGACCTGTATAGGAGTAGCGTGAAGCCACCCGGTATCATCGGTGGCTTGGTCTAATGCGGTGCTTTTTTACACTGTAGCTTAAAAGTCTCTCTGTGCTTTTAASCAGAAGGTCAGCCCCAGCAAGGAGCACTGGTCTCTGGTTCAGTGCTAATCCACACATTATTTTTCCTTTTCAGAAACCACCATTTATCTCCACTTGGTGTTCTTAGATCTCCTTGCATCTTCGCCGTGTTTATGCATCACATGTATTCCTAGATTTCAATYATCAGAGAAGGAGGGTGGAGCTCTCTGAAATTAATTTCTCACTAATTTCTCACTACAGTAGTGGTAGTAGCTACACTGAAGTATGAACAGATGGAATGGAAGAAAGAGGAAAACAATAAGCCAAACAAAGAAACCCAATCTAGCCAACATAAAAAGAGGGTGGCAGAAAAAAGCGCTACAGCTGGGGCAAAGGAAGGTGGGCAAAAGGAAGGCTGAGGTTCTCTGAGCTCTGTGCTGCTCTTCTAACGCAGACATGCAGAGGCCTCATGTGCTGGTGACTTCCCATCCTGGAAAACTGCAGTGGATGGAGATAGCCAAGTTAATACCTTTATTTGCAAAAAAAAACGATGCCTAGGGGAACTTTGTGTAAGTTTGGTTGCTTGGTCAATACCCCACATAACAGTTCCTTCTTTTCCACTTGAAGCTTGCCAAGCATACATGTCCTGCACAGCTAAGTTTGTAGTCGAGATTAAAGAGAGTTTGGGACAGAGACAACCCTGAGAAGTGCTGACTGCGACGTTCCGCGTAACTTCCTTGGGCTGCGGGGCGGGCGATGGAGCTCTGGCTGTGGGGTGCGAGCACGGAGAGCGTGCGAGCCCCGCGCGCTGCGCAGGACCCGCGCGGCGGCCGCGCTTCCTCCCTATCCCCGCGCCTGGG